TAGTACGCGTGGTATTGATGAAAAGCACGGGAAACTGTGTCGCTCCTCCCCCGTGTGACGTAGTCGTACAGTGGTGCTCATCTCATACTTTTGACTTTCTTGCGCGCCACTGGGTTTTTGAATTCGAGCAGTGACACTCATCCTGGGGCTCCAATTCACCTCTCCGCAGTCTACCAGAAGCAGATTTTTTTTATTTTCTCGCTGCTTGCTGAGGTTCTTCGCTCATCTCCGCTGCACTTGGCTCCTATTTGTACTGCTTATCTCCAATTTTTTTGCTATTTTCTGCTTGCTTTGTTACGCTTCTCAGCTTTGCATTTTCCTCTGCTTCTTCCTGGTTTTTATAATGGCGTTCGTAGGAAGATTGACAATTCAAGCCAGTAGGGCGAAATTCATAAGCACACTCAGAGCAGAGTCAGTAGCAGAGAGAGTTAAGGAGCTGTCGGTCACTGGGCTGCAGTCCAAGTTGAACATTTTGGAGATATATTAGGGTCAGTTCAAGGGGCAGCACGTGAAGCTGCTGTCTAGCAAGGACTGTGTGGAGATTCTCGAGTACGATTACGTCAAAACACAAGTTTATGACAAATGCTTAGAATGTTACTCCGCAGCAAGGACTAAATTTATCGGACTGATCAAGTCCCTGGACGATTCTGTAGATGTGTCAGAATCATTTCATCGTAGACCTGCTGCATCTGCTTCAACTCTTCAAGTGTCTCAAAGGCAACTGCCTAAGATCTCTCTGCCGACTTTCTCCGGAAATTTCTCTGAGTGGACTCCTTACAAGGATCTCTTCCACTCAATGGTGGTCGGCAACAATGCGCTCTCGACTGTAGAGAAACTCCATTATTTGCTCACTTCTCTTGCTGGTGAACCGAAGCAATTGGTGTCGACTCTGTCGGTGTCATAAGACTCATTTCTGCCAGCCTGGAAATGCTCACCGGTAGATATGATAATGAACGTCTCCTCATATCTACTCAGCTGGAGAAATTGTTCTGCGTTCCGAGGATCGTTAATCGATCGTCTAGAGAGTTCAATGCCTTTCTCAACTCCACTACCGAAGCCTTGAATGCCCTGAAGACGCTAGATCGGCTGGTGCAGCATTGGGACGATATCCTGGTACATGTTGTCTCGAGTCGGCTGGATTCCAAGACGAGAGAGGCGTGGAAAATTAAGATCGGCGCTACCACGACCTTCCCTTCATATGAGGAGTTGAAGGAGTTTATTCTGAGCAGGGCGAAAGCAATGGAGAGGATCGAGCTGCAAGCTTCCCAGGTGGTTACGTCGAGTTCTAACCAGCAGCCACCGAAATCTAAGCCAGTCAAAGTGTTGAACGTCTCAACTGGTGCTGGTGATTAGAAGTCGAGTGCTGAATCATGGGCAGACATGAGTGTTAATCCCTGCTCCATATGCTCCGACGATCACTTCATTGATTGATGCCCGAAGTTTAAGTTGTTGACTCTTGAAAAACGCAAGGAGTTCGTCGAGAGGAAGTACTTGTGCTTCAAGTGCCTCGGGAAGCATTCTCTTCGTGCCTGCTGAACGTCGAGGACGTGTGTTGTGTGTCATAACCACTCGATGATACATATCAGTCGTCCTTCAGGTGCTTCCCAGGTTGCATCTCAGACGTCTGCGAGTCAGCAATCATCTCAACCACGTGAAAATGCGATACAGTCCACTGTCTCAAGGGCTGACGAATCTCAGCAGTGACCATCTCAACCGATATCAGTGTCAATAGCGACGCCGCCAATTTTGGAGTGTTCGCAACGGCCGTCGCTGTCAAGTGATTCTCCCTCTGCAGCAATGACAGTTCATGAAGTGTCTTCTCAGCTGAGACCAAGTGTTCTTCTCCCAACAGCATTGGCTTCTCTCATTGGGGAGAATGGATCGTCGTGGGAAGTTAGGATGCTGCTTGATCCTGGATCTGAGTTGTCATTTGTGGCAAATAGTCTCATGGTGAAGCAAGGCTTGTCGACATCTCCAGCTTTGCTACCTGTCGTTGGCATCGGTGGAGCAAGGTCGTGTTCAAAGTATTGTTCTTAGTTCTGTCTGAAGTCGCGGTACTCAGACAAGCGAATTGACATTAAGGCCTATATTCTTGACCGTCTTACAACCTCGTTGCCATCGTTTTCAGTCTCTCAAACACAACCATGGGATCATCTCAAGGGACTGAAACTTGCTCATCCAGAGTATCTGACGCCCAGACCTATTGATCTTCTCATTGCGGCAGATTTCTTTGGATCAATCGTAGAATCGCAAATCATCAAGGGGCCTGTGGATTCCCCTATAGCCATGTATACTATCTTCGGTTGGGTGGTGCTCGGACTAACTTCGACGGTGATTCCTATGGTGACTAGCTCTAATCACGTATCAGACAGTAGCGAGGAACTTGACGATCTTCTCACCAAGTTCTGGCTGCAAGAGGAAGTTTCGAAAACCGAAGATAGTGTTCTGACTAAGGAAGAGGCAGAATGTGAGGAGTTTTTTCAGCGCAGTCATTCACGAGACAGCGTTATGTGATTCGGCTGCCTCTTATACGTTTTCCGACAGAGCTTGGCGACTCCTATGGTCGGGCTAAGGCGTGTCTCACTAGTCTGTTTCGGAGAATGGAGAAGGATTAGAAAACCTTTCAGCTGTACAGTGATTTTATCAATGAGTATGAAGAGCTGGGGCACATGGTGCGTGCTTCAGGCGTGTCTTATTCACGGAGCGCCAGGGGCTTGAGTCTAAACTGTTGCTCTGAGGGGATGACCTTGGCACATGAGGCTTCGTCTTCAGGAGGGTTGAGGTTCTCTGAGGGGAGGCAGTCGGCTCTTGACTCCATTACGGTGTTCTTCTCTAAGACAAACTCACTCTTCTACTCCTACATACTACTTTCCTCATCAAGGTGGTCTCCGGAAAAGTAGTGAAACGACGAAGCTGAGGGTGGTGTTCAACGGTTCCAGTAAGACCAGCACGGGGGTGTCACTCAATGGCATTCAACATACTGGAGCCAAATTGACTCAGGATATCACTGACCTTCTTCCCAAATCGAGACGTAATCGGTTCGTTTTCATGACGGACATGACGAAGATATTCCGCCAAATCAAGGTGCATCGTGAGGACTGGCCTCTTCAGCAGATTTTGTGGCGAGATTCTCCGGGCCAGATCAGCACCTACCAGCTCACCACAGTAACCTACGGGACTAAATCTGCTCCATTCATAGCCTGCAGCGTTCTCAATCAGCTGGTTGCGGCTGAGGGACGTCGTTTCCCTCCGGCCGTCTCTCCGTTGCCCAGTGGTAGATATGCGGATGACATCTGTGGTGGAGCTGAAAATGAGGTTGGTCTATTGGAAGTGTCTAAACAAGTGACAGGTCTCTGCTTAGCTGGTGGATTTCCTTTAGCTAAATGGCACAGTAATAGCCCGTCTCTACTTCGATCTCTAAATCTAGAAGGTGTCTTTCAGGATTATAAGTCGCTAGAGTATTCCACCACAAAGATTCTGGACTGAAGTGGGATCCTAACACAGACCAACTCAAGTTCTCTATCCGCCTTCCAGCCAACCTGAAGGTGACGAAGAGGAATATTCTCTCTGAGATAGCTCAGTTGTTCGACCCTCTCGGATTGCTATCTCCTGTAGTGGTCAAGACGAAGTCCCCTCTCCAGCGTCTGTGACTGAAGAAATTGGATTGGGATGACGAGCTGCCATACCAGATGGCTCGTAAGTGGGGATAATTTCGTGAGGAGCTACCTCTGGTCACGAACATCTCTATTCCTCGTTGGCTTGGAATAAAGAACGATTCTCTGGTGGAAGTATATGGGTTTTCGGATGCGTCTCAATCAGCAATGGCTGCGGTGGTGTATTTGAAGGTGACAAGCTCGCATGGTGTCAGCATCTCATCAGCAATTGCTAAAACAAAGGCAGCTTCCCTCAAACGACTCATCATCCGCGTCTTGAGATCAACGCCGTAGTCATTCTGGCAAAGCTCACAAGGTATGTGCGTGATCAACTCAACCTTGATATCGCTCCTGTATTCCTGTGGACCGACTCAGCTGTTACCCTGGCATGGATCAGCCCTCGTCCCTCTCGGTGGAAAGAATATGTGCATAACAGGGTAGTTAGTATACAGGAACAGGTGGAAGGAGCGAAGTGGAGGTACATCAGCGGTAAGGAGAATCCTGCTGATTGTGCATCTCGGAGCATCACAGGGATGCAGCTCAGTGCTCATAGATTGTAGTGGACGGGTCCAAAGTGGCTGCAGCTAGATTCTTTTCGGTGGCCAAAAGAGGACGCGAAACTGGATCCGTTAATGGCTAGTCTTCTCCGCCTCCTCAAAGTAGTCTACTCTCTGGGATCTCATCACCAGATACTCCTCTCTCTACAAGTTACTGCGGGTAACGGCGATTTGCTTGCGTATTGTCTCCAGAATGAGGAGGAAGTCTGGTGAATCTCTGGTGCATCCACTCAGTCCTGATGGTTTGGAGGCAACTCGGCTGTATTGGATTAAGGCAACTCAGGCCTTTTATCTACAGTCCGAGTATGACATTATCTCTGGTGGTCAGTAGCTTGGCAGATCTCAACCATTGACCAAACTCACGGCCTTCATTAACCATCAGGGTGTTCTCCGAGTGGGTGGGCGATTGAAGTTCTCTACCTTGCACCCAGAGAGTAAACATCAAGCGATTATCCGTAAAGAGTCCATGTTGACAGAGCTTCTCATTAGAGATTCTTATCAGCGAATAGTGCATGGTGGAACTCAACTCACGTTAGCGCATCTCGGTAGGTCTTACTGGGTAATTGGAGGACGAGTGCCAGCAAGATCTTTCATTCTTAAGTGTGTTGAGTGTGCGCGTCATCATGAGGTTCGTGCTCAGCAACTGATGGGACAGCTTCCAACAGTACGTCTCTCAGTGGTGCGTGCGTTCTCTAACACTGGTGTGGATTACGCTGGACCAGTGTCTATTAAGACGTGGAAGGGGCGTGGCTATAGAACCCACAAGGGTTAGTTAGTGATCTTCGTTTAGATGGCCATGTCTGCACTTCACCTGGAAGCTGTCACCGATTACTCGGCTGATGGGTTCATTGCTGCTTATCGCAGGTTCGTGAGTCATCGGGGTCATTGTGCGAATCTCTACAGTGACTGTAGCACCAATTTTATCGGTGCTGACAAGGAGCTGAGGAGATTACGCTCAGCTGGATCGAAGGAGATCCAGGAGATCTCAGCGGTATACCTCAAGGATGGCACTCGATGGTCGTTCAATCCACCAGGGGTACCGTATTTCGGAGGTAAATGGGAAGCAGCGGTCAAGTCGGTGAAGTACCTCTCTCGGACGGTTCGGGACACGGTTCTGACGTTCGAGGAGCTCTCTACGCTGCTTACTCAGATCGAAGCACTTCTCAACTCCAGACCTCTACAGGCTCTCTCCGAGGACCCTGACAACGTGCTGTGTCTTACCCCGGCACATTTTTTGATTGGAGAGGCTCTAATTACTCTGCCGGAACCTTCACTTGATGATCTGAACGTTGAGCGGCTCTCTAGATGGCAACTGATCCAGCAGAGGCTGCAGTACTTCTAGAAACAATGGTCGACCGGGTACCTGCAGCAGCTCCAGTCCATCTCCAAGTGGCATCATGCATCCAACGGTATTCGCATCGGCTTCCTGGTACTGCTCTTCGATGAAAGGTTCCCGCCTTCGAAGTGGCCTCTCGCTCGTGTCACAGCTCTACACCCTGGAAAGGATGGCCTCTCCAGAGTTGCGACAATCAAGACGGCGTCAACGATATTGACTAGGCCGATCTCCAAGCTGGTTCAAAAGGGTATCACAGGGGTGTTCAAAAGGGTATCACAGATCCCGTCCAAAAGCTCTCCAAAGAAGTTCATCAAGAAAAGGTACTGATCAAATTTAACGACACCACCAGGATAAACACGCAAGGTCGTTAGGAAGTATTACTTCCCTGGAAAGAGAACCATCCGCTCCTCCCAGACAATCGTTCCTTAGCAGAAAGGAGACTGGATACGACATGGACTCGATTGCAAGCAAAGGACATGGTGAGTGATTATGAAAAAGTATTTCATGAGTGGCTTGAGGAAGGAATCATCGAGAGGATGTCAGACGATAAGGTGAAAAATCCTGGACATTATCTTCCCCATCGACCAGTTATCAAGGAAAATAGCACTACAAGAACCAGGCCAGTGTTCGACGCTTCAGCGAGAGGAAAACCCGGATCTTCACTCAATGAATGTCTCCAGACAGGGCCAAACCTTATCGTGCTCATCCTGTCCCTGCTCATGCGCTTCAGAGAAAAATGGATTGGCGTCATCGCAGATATACGCAAGGCATTCCTGCAAATTAGTGTTGATCCTGAGGACAGAGACTCCCGGAGATTTTTGTAGAGGCCAACGTACAACCCAGACATAACAGAGCATTATCGTCATCTTCGAGTTGTCTTTGGAGTCTCCAGTAGCCCTTTCTTGCTAGGTGCCACGATTGATCTCCACATAAAGAGAGCGATAGAAAAGGCAGAATCTCAGGCTGAGGTGATTATTCTGGAAAAGTTGAGAGGATCTTTCTATCTGGACAACTGTGTCACAAGTGTCCATTCGTCAGAAGAGCTTCAGTGATTTCAAGAAATTGCCACCGAGACGCTCAGGACTGGAGGTTTTGACTTGAGAGAATGGGAGCATTCGTGGTTGGAGATGCCATCGGCGACGAGCCCTGTCTTGGGTCTCGTCTGGAATCGTGAGGCGGATACGTTGGCACTAGCTGATGCAGTCATTAGGAAGGAGAGCCCAGCAGACATCACCAAAAGAACGATTCTTTCTGCCACGCAGAGCCTATTTGATCCACTTGGAATGATCTGTCCGGTCCTCATCTGCCCCAAAGTACTGTTACAGAAGCTGTGGTGTAAAGAAATAAATTGGGATACTCGTGTGAATGAGGACACCGAGAAGGCCTTCAGTCATTGGTTGGATCAGCTCTCTTGGTTGAAACAGTTAGAAATACCCAGGTGGGCGTTCGGAGGAGGACCTGAGAAGCCATCAATCTCTCTCCATGCTTTCGTAGATGCCAGCCAGGAAGCGTACGCCTCTGTAATTTATGCCATAGTAGAGCTGGGTGACAAAGTGGAGTGTTACTTTGTCGTTGCTAAGTCTCGAGTGTCACCCAAGGACAAGCCCACGATTCCTCGGCTGGAGTTGCTGGCGGCGACGGTGGGAGCCCGCCTCATGGCCTCGGTACTGTCTGCCTTGAATTACACCCAGGTACGTCAATATTTCTGGACTGAATCGTCAACAGTGTTTGCTTGGATTCAGCGAGATAAAGAATGGGGTACTTTCGTGGGGAACCGCGTTCAAGAAATTCGCACCCTCACGAATCCAGCGTCGTGGAGCCACATTCCAGGGAGTCTTAATCCAGCAGACCTGCCATCACGGGGATATACCGCCAGGTAACTGATTGAATCCCACTGGCACGAAGGTCCTGCCTGGTTAAGGCTTCCTCCTGCACTGTGGCCAAAGTCCTCTGTTGACATGGATGAAGCAGATGTTGAAAAAGAGGTTAAGAAGACTACTAATAAGAAGAAGACATCTGATAAAAGTGTGGTGGCGTGTACAACGGTCTGTCATGTCTTGAGCAATGTTCAATGTCAACTACCAAACAGCGAGGTGCCTTGGTATATGCCAAAGTTCTCACGTTACACACAACTTGTCAGGCGTGTGGCATGGATCCAACGATTCCTGGCTAATTGCAGACAGAATCCTGATCAACGTATCAGAGGGGCGTTGTCTCTTCAAGAGGTTGAGCAAGGCGAGTTGACCCTCCTGAGATTAGTACAAGAAGAGAGTTTCTCAGGAGTGAATGATCCTCGGTTCACTGGCCTGACGATCTACAAGGACACAGCAGGACTCGTACGTTTGAAATCACTTATTTCCCATAGAGACGATACTCTAGGATTTCGATGCCCTGTTGTTTTGGACCATCGCCACCCCTTGGTACAGAAGTTGATATATCTCCGCTATCTCATCCTGAATCATAGTTCGATCGAGGTGACAATGTGCAAGCTACGAGAGAATTTCTGGATTCTTTCGTGCAGACGCGCAGTCCAATCTGTTGTTCGCCAATGTGTCACCTGTAAGCGATACAGTGTGAAGTGAATAGAATCCACGCCAGTGGCTCTACCAGAAGCCAGAGTGAGAGATGCAGCAGCATTCGAAGTGATGGGAGTGGACTTGGCGGGGCCTCTTTACTTCAAATTTTTGAAAAATCATATCTTGCGAACAAATTGGCCGATTTTGATGAATAAAAAAAGATTTTTTTCATTTTTTCATATACTTTTGGAATAAAAATAGGACAGTACCTCGAGGAAGGGTAATGAGTCATTTTTCAAGTTTTTTGTTATTTAAATCCTTCTGTTATGCAGGGGCCATTCGAAAATCGAATAATTTTTTTTTTCTTCGATGGATAATGATATTACTCAACTTTTTCTTTCAAAATGGGATAGCCATATGGAGATGAGAGAAAATTGTTTTTCTCATGAAAAATTAGATTTTCCGAGTTTTGTTCTTGAAAAATGATGAATGTTTCATGAAAGGATGAGCGTGCAATTTTTCCGCATAATTTGAAGATGAGATGCATAAGTAGTGATGGATAAAAAACGTTTTTTATAGAAAAAAGTTGAATTTATTGATTATTAACAGCTCTACTTATGTAAACGACAATGAGAATTCGCAAAGTACCAAATATTTGATGAGTTTTTAGATCAACATGGAGTATATGTCTGTTTCAAGTTTGTCATTTGAAAAATAAACATTCAATTATAGAGAAAAAGCAATTTGAAATCGAACTTTTCTGAATCACAATAGCTATCTTAATGTACGTCGTCCATTTCGTTCCGTCGCCTTTGGAAAAACTTCTCCCGTAGTCGCGGAAGAATATCTCTTAATCAATAATTCCTTTTCTCCCACAGGAATAAAGCCGTGATTTTCTTGTATCTCTGGAATCGCCTTTGCACTGTCGAATCTTGTTTTCAACCGTTCTTTCATATCCTCGTGTTCCTATTTAGTGTAGAAAAACACATCGAGATCCTTGAAATTATTCTTTGCCCACTGGAACAGACCATCTGGAGTAAGAATAGGTTCACCATTAGTAATTTGCAGACTTCTTCGTCGTGCTTCCCTCTTCAAGACTACGCCTATGCCATCGCATGCCGTCTTTCCATTCGCGGTCGCATGATAGTGCGCCTCTGCCTCAACTCCAAAATCATTTTTAGGCAACAAAAGATTAGCCATGTTATATCGATTCTTATAGTGCTGTCCAGCACCATCTGTACCATAGATCAATTTGTTTACGACCGCACAGACTTGTTTTATGTGTCGTATCAGAATCTGTTGCATTAAATGAACTGCAGTAGTATCGTGAACGAGACTGTCAGATAAGAGGACTAGACTTCTATGTCGAATATAATTGCCGTGGCGATAATAATACATCACAGGATGGACAGTGCATTGATCATTGTTGTAACGGAACGATTGAGCAGCGTCTTGAGCTACAAAAGATTAATTCTCCGAAAAATCGGCCTGCACTAGAATTTCACCCTCAATTAAATTCCCCTTTCGTTCTTTCACGAAAGCGTTTTGTTGTATAGCAATAAAATGATGAGATTTCAATACTTTCAATCTCTCACAAAGTACATCAACAAATTCATACACTGGAAGTCTCTGGGTCTGTAATGTTGTTCTATCCACAGATTGCCAAGTCCTGAATTCTACAGTTTCAATCACAGCATCGTGGAGGAGTTCTTTCAGCTCGAGCGATAATCCTTCAACTCCAGGACAGTTTTTACACTCATCTAAGTGGCATTCAGGCGTTGGATTAGGGCACATGAGTCTTGCAAGACAGTCTTTATAGTCGGTAAGGGGACATGATGAGTTTTTAGTGAGAGTAGAAATGTTGATTGCATCCAACATCAGCTTACAATTTTGATGATAGGTACAGACACATACCACGTGCGTACCACTCGCTCCTGCCAATACACAGTGTTTCGGCCTCAATTCCGCAAACTTGCTGAATCCCACCGGAGACTCTGGATGAGCAATTTTATATTTCTCGTGAAGATCATTCAAGTTCTCGAGGACCATCCGCTTCTGCATTATTTTCTTCACGTCAAGTTCTCGAGGACCATCCGCTTCTGCATTATTTTCTTCACGTCGTTGATTCTGACTGACACTTTATCCTTCATCCCTGGCATCGTCCGACTATCACTCTCATAAAAACTCCGGACCTTTTTCAACTGTCTCTTTGGGCAATGATTTCCCAGCCTTCGCAACTGTTGAAGCAAATATTCCTCTCTGTTCTCGCAGTTGTTTTGCTCTCATAGCCATGTATCTTGTCGTACCAAATTCACGGCTCACCTTTCGCTCACTCCATGAAGGTGGAGCAATAGTCAAGAGTTGAATACGTTGAAAATATTCTGTCATCGTATTGAATTTTGGCTTGAGTCCATCCAACATTTCTTCCAATTCCAATTCTCGTGGAGAACGAAAATTTTCTGGAATGTTCCTGTGGTGCTCTGTCTCTGAATCATCATCTGCTGTTGGAGCATCGTACTCCTCTGAAGCTTCGTTGAAAATCACATCCCCATCAAGATCAATTGAATGGAAGGAATTACCTNATTGCTCGTAGAAATGTCTACTAGAAATGGTGTAGCACTGGACGAACGATCGGCTGGAACATTTGATGACGATGAAGAGACTTCCCGATTCGATGAAGATTGAGAGGGTGGTGATCCAGGAATATAAGTCAAAGCTCTTTTCCTCCAGGAGCTACATAGTTTTGCATTTTCGGGCAAGAATGGCAATGTCTGTTATAGTCTTTCTGAGATTGAACGCAGATCTTTTCCATTGTGACCTTTTTCCCCAGGAACTCGCATTGGATTTGCACATCTTTCGGCATGCGGCATCTTGTGGAATAGAAATGAAGAACAGTTCTGATCATTCAAAAAAAGGGAAAAAAATAATAATAACGATCGATTCAGTTTACAATTTCACTACTGAAATATTTTATAACATCACTTACCTTGATTAAAGTTGATGGAGAATAAATACAGGAGAATAACCGTCGGACAATTTCTGTTAACGATACTGTAATGAACCGTGTGAGATGTTCAACACTCAAGTGTGTGATGAGGACTAATCAAACGGTTATTATTGAGGCAACTCTATGGCTCGTATGGAAACTGAATTCCGAGAAATCGGTTGTTTATTCTCACCCCCACTCGGAACCTTTGATTACATTGCGCTCCCATGTTTTGTATCCATTGTCCAATGTTTGTGTACAAAAATCCCAAGGTCATTTCCCAAAGAAATGCACCCAACGTTTGATTTCTCGGAGTTTGAAATACGATCGGCACCCACTGGGTTTCGAACCCGAATCATCGGATTAGAAATCGCTCGCCTTACCGACCGAGCTATCGTTGACTTTCAATTTTTATTCAGTAGTAATACCCCGAGTACTTCAAAATTATCAGGTATTTCCCGATAACTTCGTTGTAAACAAACAAAAGTGTCAAGTTTTGCAGGTTTAAAAATCCCGAGCACTTGCTCGGTTGATATCAAACTTGACACGATCGTTTGTTTGCGGGGATGTTTGAGGAAAATACCTGATAATTTTGAAGCACGAAGGGTATTTGTCGGATTATTTTTCACGTACGGATTTTGGTCAGGAGTGTCGTTTACGCAACCTCAAAATGACATTCGAGAACAATTGAAGAGTTAGTACGAAATATCCGGAAAAATATATGTGAGTATGAAATAACCGAAAAAATATATATTTTAGTGCGAAATATCCGAAATAAAACTTACTCCAGCCTGTCATTTGTCATCAAATGCTGCATTCTGATTGGCCCTGACTGTCTAAAATCCGTACGTGGAAAAATAATCATCATGATAAGTGAAAAATCATGTGAATTCGAGTAATTAACGCTATTGCGAAAGATATTGGGCATTTCTGTCAGGTACAAGAGTGAAGTTATGGGGGTAAAAGTTTGAAACAATCTTAGACTCATAGTAGTTGACTTTAAACATGCCAATGTTCTATTCCGAAATACAAAAAAATCCAGGGTAGCTGAATTGACATGGAATGTCCCGTGTATGATCGGAAAATCGAATTTTCCATGGAATTTTTTTCTTTTTCTCATCTCCATATGGCTATTTCATTTTGAAATACCCCGGAAAAGATGAGTAATATCATCATCCATCGAAGAAAAAAAAATTATTCGATTTTGGATTGGCCCCTGCGAAACAGAGGGATTAAAATTACGAAAAACTTGAAAAATGGCTTAGTATTCATCCTGGTGGTACTGTTGTATTTTTAGTCTCAAAGTATATAAAAAAACGAAAAAAATATTTATTTATTTATTAAAATCGGCCAATTTGTTCGCAAGATATGATTTTTCAAAAATTCGAGCTTTTGTTATTTGTCCTGGCCAAACAATTAATGTTAAAGGAGCGAAAATTTAGAGAAAGGATATCCTCATGTAGTACTTAACTGGGAGCATGCTAATTCAGGATTCTGAGAACCAAAAAAATCCAGGGTGGCTGAGTTGACATGGAATGTCCCGTATATAAATCGTTCATTTAATCCTTGGTATTCCGGAAGTCAACATTCAATAGTATTTCGTCCTTAATATTGTTACACCCAACGATGTATAATGAAGGATACAGGGATTAATTAAATAGATGGGGCGGTTTATTGTGTACACAAAAGGCAAGACGATGTGTCTTGTACCAGAGCTCCAAGGAGAATCGTCCAATCTCCAAGTTATCCCAAAAGACAGGCGTTACCAAGGGAGTTTAGTAATATCCTTCAGATGATAGACAATTGCTTTCTGATTCAAAGGGGGATACGCAAC